GGACGGACTAAAGGTAAATGCGCGTGCAAAACGGTCCGAGGTCTACGGCCGACGTCTGCGTCGGCCGCGACGGGTTGTTGCTCCAACATCATGTTCCCAGATTACACACGCACGGACCACCATCGGTTCTGCAGGGAAACCGACGACCCATACATGTTGATTGTGAACTCCCAACATAGTATCTGGTTGCTGCCGTTAGTGAGTGTCCAGGTCGTCACGAAAACTCGAGCACAACACTCACCAGCTGCCGGACTATCCACTGACATAGAAACTGAGAACATGACAACTCATGAACTCCTTTCGTCGCCCAAGATCGCATTAGCAGTGTTTGAACATCTCTCCCCAGGGCCATTGCCAAGGGATCGCGATATCACGAAAGACTCCCTGATGAAGCAGCGTCGCGAGCACCGGGCCGCGCTGGCTCAGCTGGCGACCGTATGCCGCGCGGTCTCAAGCCTCGCTCTCGACACACTGTGGCGACACATCGACGACTTCCATCATCTCTTGTTTGCGCTCCGCCCTTACGACAAGACCAAACATGTTGGCGTCCAATTTTCTCACTCGCACAGGCGTGGTCTGACGCGTTTGCACTTCAGATGTTTGTAGCTGACTTCACGGATGCCGACTGGGTACGTTTCCAAGAATACGCGCTACGCGTGCGCGAACTGAACGTCGGCAATCTCGGGCGGTTTCATGCGATGGTGTGGGTTCTATTGACACGGTGGTGTCCCCGGCAACCCCTCTTGCCTCGCCTCTCGCGCCTAACCGGATTCGATATCAACACATCGAGCGTGTGTTGTACTACTCTGTTCTCGGCTTCCATCAAAAGCCTTAACCTCAAGGTGTGCCACTCGGTAGAAGACAGCGTCGTCCAAATGACCATTCAAGCGGCTCAACCTGCGCTCAGTTCCATTATTCACCTCTCAATCGAGGACGTGCCGGCCGCGATCGCGGGCAAGGAACAAGCGGTACCGTTCTGGAACTTGACGCAGCTGCACACCCTGCATGTATGGCACAAGACAGTGTTGACTATCCCGATTCTGGAATCTCTCGCCTCGTTTCCCCAACTTCGGACGCTTCAACTGCACATCGACAGGATCCCGGAGATACGCCAGCGCGTGGCCAGCGCGGGCTTCCTCAGTCTCAGCGACCTCACGCTCTCTGGGCGTCTGGGCGATATTTGCGCGTTCATGGCCGCCACCACACCACCCAACATCGAGTCTCTTGCGATCGGCGCGTCGGAGCTGTGCGCTTCTGAAGGGTCTCGCGACGAACCCCACACGCAGTCCGGGCAGGCCACAGCTCGCAGCCTTGAGCCCATCTACGCTCGGCTCACACCGTCGCTCCGCCATTTCCGCGCCACACTGCGTTGCTCTTGTTCGACCGAATACCACTTCCCCGACAGCAGCAAAATGCTCACGCCGCTGCGTGCCCTCTCTGGTCTGCAGAGTATCACGTTTGGGTTTGAAGGCACGAAGTTCCACCTCGCCAACGCCAGTCTCGCGGCGCTTGAGGATGCGTGGCCCAATGTCAGAATGTGAATACTCCTCGGGTAATGGACAGGTGGTGTAGTGGCAACACACCTGTGGTACTGCGGGAACCCTGTGGTTCAAATCCCGGTCTGTCCGTTTTACCTATCTTACTGCCGTAAATTCCAACACCCAACCTCATCCAGCTTGATATCGCCACACGCAAGCCGATCCCGGTCCAGTTTGAGTATCGTGGTTACACCGGGATCGTGGTCGATAATTCTCACCGTAGACGAGCCGTACCGCAAGTCCCGAACAACACGCACAACCACCCCACCATCAAGACGCTCGCCGTGTTCGCCCAGGCGCACCCGCACCTCACGACGTTCGGCATGCCGTCGATCGACCTCGATGCTCTCCCCGCGCTCGATTTGGTGCCCCTCCTCGATCACGGGCTGCAGCATCTGCGTATCTGCACGCTCGACGGCGGCGTCGCGCTGTTCCCGTATGCGTGCGCGCTTGACATGCTCTTTCCGCGTCTCGAACTCGCCGATGTAGTGGGGGCGGTCATCGCAGGCGAGGGCGATCGAAGCACCGAGCTCCAGCTGCTTCTCCTGGCGCTGCAGGCCGGGCGGGTAGGCACTCATCGTACGCATACTGAGGGGGCAGACGTGTCCTCGGGACCTGGAGGTCCGTCCGCAATCCGACTCATTCCCCAGGGCAGGTACAACACGCCAGCACGAGATACTCCTGCAGCTGATCCGTACGCTTCCAATGCGTCTGAGGGCATCTCGTCTCAGGACTCGCAGTATAGCGGCCGTGTCTATCTTCCTTCCCCCCGAGACCGTTCGCCTGTTGCCATTGGGCCGATAAGTTTCGGCCTTGGCTTGCAAGAAATGCCACTCTTTCATGGTCCAGCTCGATCACCATGATATCAGCCATGTAGTGTTGAATGCCGGAGAGGTGTCATATGGAGGTGGAGAATTTGGGCTAACGTGCGGAGGTAGCCTCATGGACGTTGAATCTACCGTAGCAGTGTCGGTACGCTCGGTCTGTCTCGACCGTTTATTCTCAATGTTTGCATGTTTTGACAATGCTATCTTCGCCTCAACTGGTCAGTTGCACTCCTAGAATCTAGCACTTCGACGGCAGCAGGGTGCCTACACAGGACGTATAAAATGGCGCAGTGCCGCTTGTAATACACGGACAATGATTGAGCACAGAAATATATGGAGCCAGGTACAGTAGACATGTGTATGGTTGGGTGGTGAAGATCATAATAACCCGTCGTCCGCGGAGAACGACTCTGGTGATCCTGCCAGTAGTGATGCCCACTTCAAGCAGCATTGAGTAGAGGCGCGTCCGTGTGTGCCTCGTCCGTCGAATACCCCGCGCCCGAGCTTTCCACGTCCCCATCGCGCCCGTTCTCGTGCTTGTGTTCGTCTTCATGGTCATGGAGCTCGTGCTCGTCGCCCTCCTCTGCCATAGGCGAGAGCGTCAAGCCTCGTGTGCCGACACCTGCCACCCATGCGCTAGCGTCCGCATCCTCGTCGTCCACACTCGAGTAAGAGAACAAGCTGCTCCTCCGCCTGGTGCGCGCGGACATGCGCGGCTGCGTCGGCGTAGTCGGGGAGTCACGGTAGTGCGAAGATGGGGAGGGGATCACAAAGTCCCCATGCCCGTGGGTAGGCGTCTCGAGGATACCGAAAAGCGCGTGGGGCGACGACGCGGCTGAGTTCGAGGTATGCCCGTGGATGGGTGTGGTGGCGGCTGTCGCGGCGCGCGCTGTCGCCTGCGTCGAGGGAATGACGACGCGGATCCCGCGCGTGCGGAGTGTGGGCGTGCTGGAGGTGGATGAGGGCACGGGAGTGTAGGCTTGGGAGGCAGAGGCAGGAGGTTGAGCGAGCGCGGGGATAGTCGACATGGTGGATGTGGATGCGAGTGTGAGTGTGGATAAGATTGAGGGCTGGTAGTAGGTACTATATGAGCCGCGGTGGCTGCGCTGAAGATAGAGATGTTGAGTGAAGGAAGTAGGCCGTTGTCGACGCTTGGTATTTATACGCGACGGGACACGCCGGGAAGCCTCCTGAGAGATTTGACTACACAATTCATCAATATTGAAGACCGGTCACCGCTTCTCGTAGGACCTTTGACGAACCTTATGCCGAGCACTGCTCGATGCTTTCTAAAACGCGCCAACATGACGAACATAAACCACCGTTCGCATCCAACAGAGCCCACAACCCAGCGGGTCCGGTCTTGCGGACGCCTTCCCAGCCAGTTTGCTGCCCAAACCTAGAACTCGGGAGCGGGCATCAGCGTTAGACGCGCCGTCAGGGTTCGCGAATGGATGACGCACTGCTGATATGCCATGCTCGCAAATGGGACTCTCAATTGCACGCGGCAATCTGCACCGCCAGGCAATTACATAGAGGGCGTCTGTGTCCCGGCCGCCGAGACGTTGTTCTTGTTTTGGACGAGTCACGGCAGGAGCCGCATGAGAGTTGGAGACGCAAACGCCGGCAGGCGACCGGGAGACTCCTACCCTTGGCCCTGGGTTCCCTCAGTGCAGTGTCATACAGGTACAGTCGGAGTTAGGACATACCTTGCAACGCAATAGCTCCGCGAATGTGCCATCGGGTGATTTGAGTTTCATCGAGGAACATCGTGGCCGGCACCAAGGCCGGACGCCCGTCGGGGGCGACGAAGCTCAGAAGCCAGCCCCGAAGAGCCTGCAACGTTGATAACTGGGCGAACCTTAGAGAACTGCGCTCGACATGCGTCCATTAGTATTCACATTAGTTGAAATAGGCCCATTCCGTGGCCGCCACGAACGCACAGGTAAGACTTACAAGAAGGTCAATCCGGAAATGGACCACGCGTCTACGTTTTGACAAAAGCGGCTACAGTACGGGCACCGAGACCGGGCTATGTCGCAGGAGACGGCCTGTATGGCGCTACTAGTCGGCCCTGGAGAGCACGGCGAGTCGCCGGTCAGACTGCTCGCAGTGTAGGACTCACCGGCGGGTCATTCGTGGCCGGTGGAGGTGAGCCGCCCCGGAGTGAGGATGACTGGCGTCGAAGTTCGTCTAGGTATCCCCCATCACGATAAACTCTGCGATCTAGACGGCTGTTGCATATAGTCGCTAACACATTAGTGTGCAAACAAAACGACAACCCCCGCTGTCTACGGAGACCTTGCGCATCTCCAGCCCAAGGGGACGCGTTTTCTTAACAAAACCTGTGGCAATGAGGTTAGCTAACACTACAGGCGACGTCGTGTATGCCAAGAGCTCACTTGTGATGATGAGCCGCTGCGCCCGCAAGCATTGGTAGCCAGGTCCTTTCAATCCTTCTGACCGAAGTGATATGCTCCAGTGTGGCGGCACGGAACAGTCTTGAGCTGCTTACCCTCAGAACGCCTAGATAAAAACGCAGTGGTATTCCGGCTTTTATATACGGGAGCGTCGTGGTAGGAAGACAATCGGATGACGCAAATTGGCATGCGACGGCGTGCGCTATTAAACGCATCGGTAATTGCCGACACGCAAGCGCTGGCTTGTTCGAATCGAGAGTCGAGCTAGTGCAACCCATGATGTTCACGTCTCTCTCCTGCGCTTCCAGCTGCTCAATCTTTTGTGATTTTCGACCATGTACATATACCAAAGAGTGTAGTATTAGTTAAAGCGCCAGTAGGGGTTTTCAGGTAATGAGCGAACGTCAGGGCCGAGATACGAGTACAGGAAAATCGGATCCATCTCCAGTCTATACGCCTTCCCTGCCCCCTGCTCTCCCTCCCAAGATGCATCCCTAGGCCAAGGTGGTCTGAGGGACATCTGAGTCGTCCGGTTCGTCGGCTGTAGACTCCACGGGTGAACCGTGTCTCTCGCCCAAGAAATGTTCGTGCTCATCCTCGAACTCCTCGGTCTCCTCCATCGGCGGCGTCAATGGCCCACTGGCAGCCTGAGCGGCGACAGTACCAGCTCTGCGAGGGAGTGCACGGGCGTAAGCGTGGATGTCGGCCGCGTGCGTAACAGTAGAAAGGGTGCTCCGCCGCGGACGCTGGGGACACGTCTTCGTGGCCAAGGGCCAGAGAGGCCCTAGGGCGTACAGACTATGAGGTCCGGTGAACAATGTCTCTTGGCTTCAAATGGAGTGTTAACGTGTCCGTTTGTGAAGTTGGGCGTCGCGAGGTAGGCGAGCGTCTGCGCGGAGGGGATGACGACGTGGATGCCGCCCGCGCAGATGGAGTGACGGCGATGCAGGCCCGTAGAGGGGGGATGAAGGGCAGGGATGGGCGCGGTTGAAGCGAGGTCGTAGTGGGTGAGCACGGTGGAAGTAGTCGACATCGTTGTTGAGAATGCGGGTACGAAGGAGACGGGGAGTATGTCGAAGGGGTCGATTATGGCGCGGGCTGCCGGTGGATGAGTAAAATAGTGAGGGAGAGATCCTCATGGTCGTCCACCGCCGTACTTATACAGGACACGCCCCACGAGCTCCCGCCGCATGAGGTTGAGAATTTTGGTTACGGAATTCAAGCTGCTGTCAACGTCGGCCCCATGTTCTCGTGAGACATATGTCGGTGCTAACGCCGGCCACTAGTACCGTCTGGGTCACAGCGATAGCAAACCCTAGTACGCCGCCGTTCAGATTAGTCGCATTTGGCAGCGAATCTGCTCGCGCAGGAGCGTGTTCGCTCCCTCCTGCATAGTCGAGGCAAATGAGATCACATATTCGCAATGCATGAGAGGACAACGTACCGGTGAGAGGATGGCGCGATGTCACTTCCGCGGAGGCCGACGCCCATATTCGCCTCAGAGATTAGATTTTTACTCTTTTGCACTTGAACATGATCCGGGTCAAATCTGCACGCGTTGTGTGTCGCTTCCGTGAGCTCACGCTGGTCAAATTGTAGGACATACCTCGGCTGTAACACCGGGCATAGCGGCGATGCGACGTAACACCGTCCAAATTGACATACACCCAGCGGAGCTGTGGGCGCGTGCCTCTGGAGCTGGATCCAGGCTCTGGCCCTCTTGTCTGCGAGGGTGCAGGTGACGGCCAATGATGACCAACGCACGCGGAGGTTCGTGCGCGGATGGTGCACTGCCGCCATTTCGTTCTGAAGTTGGGTTCCATGTTCGCTAAGTTCCGTGGGG